GGGCTTGCCAGGGCGGGGGCCGAGCTGTGGCCATGCATGGGCAGGAGCCGGGCAGGATGGACGCTTGCCACCCCAAGAGGCAGCCAGCGTGGAGGCACGTGAGAGCTTGTTCCTGGAGGGAAGAGTTTGTCCTGAGCTGCAGCCGTTCTGCAGCCCTGCCAAGCCCCAGTGCTCAAAAACCCATGACTCAGATGCCCTGAAAACCCCGCGGCAGGCCTGAAAATGATGAACAGCGGAATAAAAACCGAACGGCGCCGTGCGCAGAGAGTTTGGATGCGCTCGCTGCTTCCCTTGACTCTGGAGGGGCCGTGCGTGGAGGTTCGTGTCCCCGAGCACCGGGGCTGGAAACGCGCCGTGTTGGTTTATTTGCCTGTTTGTTTGGTTTTAATAAGAAACAGAGAGTCCCGCGGCATCACGTGGAGCCGAGGCGTTGGGTTAACCCTCCACCTTCCCCGCTCCGCGCCGTGGGGCACGGCACCGCTGCCGGGGTGCCCTGTGACATCCCGCCTGCTTTTTCAGGCCATCGGCTGAATTTTGCCATTTTTGGCAGCTCCCGGTGGGGTTGTGGCCGGGGACACGTCCGGGCTTGGCTTAGGCGCGGTGGAAGGATGCTCTCCCTCTCCAGAGCAGCCCGAAGGCGGCTGTGATGCTGGGACCAGTTGGGGACTGTGGCTGGGGCACGGGCTGATATGTGGGGTCCCGGGGAGGGGATGCAAGGGGTTCGCCCCGCCTGGTCGCCCTCCCTCACCTCTCTCTGCCCTCGTCTCTCCTTCCCCTGCCCCTCGCCCAGATGAGATCCTCCGCTCGCTGGCCGGCCCCCGGTGGTGCCCTGGGCTGCGTGGGCACCCCAGGCGAGGCGGGCGGTCGCTGCTTGCTCGGAGGATGCTGAGAGCTGGTCTGCCCAGCGTGGGTGCGGAGCAAGGGAGAAACAGGCTGCGTTCGCAGCAAGAGCTGGTTGCTGTCGTGACAGCCGTCGTGCCCGGTTGGCTGGGCACCTTCAATCCTGGGCAGGGGTCCCCCCCAGCCGCGCTCCCTCCCTCCTGCCTGCCCCAGACGAGGGGATGTGCCCGTGGGGTGCAGAGGGAAGGAAGGCTGGGGCATGGCTTTGCACCTCGACACCAGCCGTGGGGCTCTCTCGGGGGATTAAATCAGAGGCTGGAGCAGTGCAGGTAATTGGAATTGGATTTTGCTAGCCCCGGGGGCTGGTTTGTTCGTTGCAAGCAGGATTATCCCCTGCCTGGAGGCAGCGGGCTTCACCCACCGCCCCTCGCCCCTCTGT